CCAGACATGATGGGTTGGATCTGTTGATCTATTTTCTCAATGAATCTTCTCACTACATCCCATCCAACCTTCTTGTTAAACATCACTATATACTTATGGGTGGTGGACTTCTTTATCGATCGGTGGTAATCACAAGACCTCTAGATGAAATCTAGTAGAAAATTATGGAGGGTTGTCAAAGTGTTTGTAAGATTGCTTCTTGAAAACATTTATAAAAGATATTTAGGGTTTTTTTTTTTAATTTAACTGGAGAGATAAATATTTTTTCCTAAAATATAGAGATATTAATTGATATTATATATTTAAAAAAAAAAACAGTAATGCACTTATTTTGTTTTGTTAAATACCTAAAAATCCGTTGTAAATAATTGGCTCACAGGTGTTCTCATAATATTTTTTTGGAATGGAAAAATTATTTTAAACTAATAATAATTTAGTGAAAAATAAAATATAACAAAGAGAAAAAACAAAACAAACAAAAACCAAAAAAAAACAAAACTCACATTCAAGTGTTGTAACCAAACAATTCAATTGACTTTTAGTTTAAACTTCCTAATAACAAACCAAAAGAATGAACGGAACACAATCTTATTAAACATGACATAATTTCTAACATTATGTTTTCTAAACACTTGTAAGTTTCTGAAAGTAAAGAACCCGTGTGGCTGTTAAAACAATCATATAAAGTCATCTATATCGATTAGCAGTAAGATTTGTTGTATCTGCACAAAACAGTCACTCCCTTACCAACAATTTGAAGACAAATCTCCCCCTACCAACTAATAAGATTCCAAACTAAAAATCCATATCATTGTTAGGTTACAGTTTAACCTTACACATTTTGAATTAATCAAATTGTGTTTTTAAATGATGTATAATTGCAAAGATTGAGACGAAAAACATATTAAATCACGAAACAATACTTGTGATAGATGGTGATTCACATGTACAAAATTTTGTTCAAAAGTCTCTTATTGCACTATCCAATGAGCATATTTTTGGATGCATGAATCTCATAAATACTCATGACAAACATTCATACAAGAGACTAGGGTTTAGAGGTAGCAAAACATCTAGGTGATAAACGAACCTGAATTTTAGTGATCCATTCGCGTAAATTACATTTATTTAATTAACAAATGAATAGGAACAATATTTTTCATGCTTTTTAATTCAACAAATGAAGATGAATTTGGTCATGTTCGTTCATCTATATTCTAGAACTACGTTTACGTTTATTTATTAATCATTGTTTATGTTTGTTTATGTTCATTTATTTATGTTTTATATGTTCATTTATAATCACTAATTTTATAAATTACATAGTAGCCTAAAGGCTCAAAACGAACCCATATCATTATATCATTTGTAGATTTTTATTCATTTGTGTTCTTTAATGTTCATTTGTTTATGTTATTTTATATTCATTATTGATTGTTTGTTTATCATTGTTTAACATTATGGGTGAAATTTTATGATACGACCTGTTAAAAGTACATGATACGAAACGAAATTAGGATAAAATTAAAATTTGAATTTTTGTTCTTGTCGAATGTAAAAAACTCGATCTCATATTGCGTCGTGTACATGTTCAAAATTCGATACGGAATTAACACCATTTTAGCATTGTTGTCGTGTTTTTCATATTTGTCGTGTTTTGTATATTAAGTATTAATTAATTAAACTGTTTTTTATGTTATGTTATCTTTTGCTTGTCTTATCATGTTTGTCGTTTTCTAATTGGTTCGTTTTTGTGATAGTAAAAAAAGCACAATATTGTATCGTGTCGTGTTCGTATCACGTAAAACCTTATCATGTCGTGTCGTGTCAGACAAAAATACGACACAACGACCCGATTTGTCACTCTTATTTAACATCCTAAAGAACAAACACCAATGAATATTGACAAAGTAAGTTTTTAAAGAAAAAACACATGAGCAAGAAAATACATTCATTTATATGTTTGCATTTGCTTTGTTCATTTGTTTGGAATTAATCTAAAATGACAAATTTGAATTCTTTTTTTTATCATTGCTCTCTTTTCTAATTGCATATCAAATACCATATTTAGCCTTTTGGGAATTATATCCAAAATGACAAATTTGAATACGTGTTACAAGAATAATATATGCATCTTTTGATCAAAACACCCAATGTGTAAAATCAATGTTATTGACAAAATACTATATCATAGCAATTGAAAGATTAGGGACTAAACTTGCGAATATTCATAGAATATGTACCCAAGTGCAAAATAACCAACTCTTGAAACTGCGAGTATATAAAGGTTGTTTCGGCATGATAAAGTTTCAAATTGTGGAGTGATAGAATCACATTAATTACTATACACACTCCATATACATATATATAAGCTTCAATGGGGTGGCTAGAGTTTTACAAGCCATTAATGGTTATGGTGGTGTTGCAATTTACATATGGAGCAGTCTCCATATCAACTAGAGCTTCTCTCTTGGAAGGAATGAACCCTAGAATTTTTGTCGTCTATAGACAAGCTATTGCTGCTTTAGTCATTGCCCCTATTGCTTATTTTTCGAGGTATATTTGATGTTGTCATAATATAAATATTATCTAACAACTTCTTTTTAATATTTTCACGAATTCTTTTAGTTTAGAATAAGAAGATAACGACCTACATTTCTGATTTAAATTGTTTGTGTGAGTGTTGTAGGAGCAAAACGAAATGTTCCATTGGATGGAAGAGCTTTTCATTGATCTTTATTGCTGCTTTGATAGGGTAAAAAAAAGTTCTACCAACCTTTAAAGTCAGTATTAAAAGGTTGTGTAGAGAAAATAAATAGTGTTTCTTGTATCTTTTGTGCAGAATAACAACCAGCCAAATGATCTTCTTAGAAGGATTATACTTAGCGTCATCGTCGGCAGGAAGTGCCATGTTCAATCTTGTCCCCGCCATCACCTTTGTTGCAGCAGCCATTGTTGGGTACGTACTTCAATTTTCTCTAAAAAAATCATTCCAAAATGCTACAAAAATCATAATCTTACTTAAATTTCATGAAACTTAATTTGTAGATACGAACCAATAAATATTCGAAGCTTGAGAACCATTGCGAAGATATTAGGGACGGTTGTATGTGTCACTGGTGCTGCTACAATGGCACTCATCAAAGGCCAAAAACTTCTAAATGCACAACTGCCTTCATCGCATTCTTTGTTATTGAACTCAACTGAAAGTGATAATCTTTGGCTTTTGGGTTGTTTATGTCTTTTTGGCAGCAGTTGTTGCTGGTCGTTTTGGCTAATTATTCAGGTGTGTATTGATTTACCTTCTGTCGCGAAAGATGTGTCGCGATTGTATTATGTTGTTTTAGTTATGAAGTTTGTTATAATAATACAGGTACCTGTCACTAGAAACTATCCCGACCACTTGTCTTTGTCAGCTTGGATGTGTTTTCTTGCGACCATACAATCCGCGGTGGTTACCATGTTTACAGATCCAGACTTGGAAGCTTGGAAAGTTACATCTTATTTGCAACTTGGATCTTTGTTATATGCGGTAATTATATTCGTTACATATTTTAATATAAGATGTCTTGTCCCATGTCATTTATAAAACCCTTGTATTAGAGTCCCAATAGATGCAGAATTATAAAATGTGGATTGGGCTACTTATGGACGTTGAGTTCTTATGTCAGCTACCTCTTCAAATGTGTGCTTTTAGAAATGGTCAAAAGTTTGAGTCTCTCTAGCCGGAGTGTGAGAGTTCCAACTTTAATGTGGAGTGGGCTCCTAGTAGTCACTAGGTGGACTCTTATGTCAGTTACATAGAGGGTTGTTATGTACAAAAATTAAAATATTTTAGGTTGAAAACTTAGTAACATATTTCCCATTGTTTATTTATGTTTAGGGTATTGTTGGTTCGGGAATTTCCATATTTGCGCAATCGTGGATAATCCAAAAGAGGGGTCCAGTGTTTTCGGCAATGTTCAATCCTTTAAACACAGTCATTGTGACATTTTTTGCTTCTATATTTCTACAAGAACAAATATATGTGGGGAGGTTAGTGGAATTAATTAAATATAAACCATACACATTGTTGCATGTTGTCAGAAACGCAATGGCAACATTATAATTTCCTTTTCTCATAATAACATCAACTTCTTTTTTTTTTTTTTAACTTTAGCGTGATAGGTGCAGCTGCAATCGTGATTGGACTGTATGTCGTGTTGTGGGGTAAAGCCAAAGATCTCGAGGAACTAAAAGAAGAACAACAGAAGAAGGCTATGATTTCGAAAAACTATCAAATCAAAGTTGTTCAAGTTTTGGTTGATAAATCTAGCATCGTGGAACCCCTTTTGCCTGAAGAAAGTAACAAATTCTGATTGTTGATGATGAGGTTCTGAAAGCCATGCCCAATACGATTATAATTATATGAAGTATAATATAAGCCTAATTGCAAGTTATGAACAAATGAATGGTTCATATGGAAAATGTTGTTTTCTAATGAATTACTAGTAATGATACATCATATAACAAACCAACAACTATGTTCCTTGTGGTTTATAAATTTGCCAAATCAAGGTTGTTAATTTAATCCATACTTTTATATTTTCTTGATGAGATCTGAAAGTCATACCTAATATGATCATAATTATTATATTGCAATATAGTCTAATTATAAGTTACAAACAAATAAATGATTCATACTAAGAGTGTTGCAAGGATTCGATAATTTACTGGTTGTCCAGTGTACTACTAGTAATAAATCATAAAACAAAGACAAAACTTCAAAAATCGTCTCTGTTGTTTTCGAAAATATCAAGTTTAGTCCTTAAGTTCAAAAAACCTCACAGATGGTCCATGTGGTTTCAAAACTTTTAACATTTGGTCATTCCAGCTAACTCCGTTACCATTTAGCCGTTAAGTCAGGGGTATTTTTGGTATTTCACTACACAGGGACCATTTATGAGGTTTTCAGTTACTTTTTTTAAATAAATAAATAAATAAAATTTAATATGCAAGGGTCTCACCTCTCTCTCTCTCTCTCTCTCTCTCTCTCTCTCTCTCTCTCTCTCTCCGTCCTCCCCCTGATCACCATAAAAAACATACACACACTCCCAATACACGCAGATACATACACACATTCCACATACACAAACAGTCACCACTAGTTAGCCTTCAATGACTATGCTTGATCCTCCCACCATCAATTGCTTTCAATAACACATCAAAGGAAGCTCAAAGATTTCAGACGATGACATCTCATCCTCCGACTTAGTCTGCGTCAGGATGAGAAAAAACGACCCTAACCCCACCCTCTCTTCTTCTTCTAACTGATTTGCAACGACGGTGGAAGGGCATCGATGGGTGGATGCGGTTGGTGGATGTAGGCGGCCTTGCTGCTTCATTTCTTTGAAATGAGAATAATTAAAATTATTGAAGAAATTAAATCGAGATGAAGTTGAATTGACTTTACAGTGGGGAAAGTGTTGTTGGTGTAAGAAATAAGCATGCAGGTCTTCCCAACAGCTCCATCGTCGATTGTCACACACTTTATAAACTGAGATGCGCTCATTCTTGACTTTTTCCAGTAACTGGAGTTTGACTTTGACCTCTGACGACCAACTTCAACAAATATTCTTGTTCCCACCTCTTGATTAACTTCTCTTTCCTTCAGACTTCAAGCCAAAAAAGCTGCAAAATTTCTCCCCAAACATCAAAACCCTAAAATATTTCCACACTGACTACAATATAAGGACCAAAATCAGCAGCACATTCATTGATTTCGGAACATTTCATACAAATAGTGTGTGATTGTGTGTGTTTTGTGTGCAGAGAGAAATGAGAAGCACCTTAGATAGAGAGAGAGAGGTGGGATCCTTGTATATTAAATTTTATTTATATATTTATTTAAAAAAAAGTAACTGAAAACCTCATAAATGGTCCCTGTGTAGTGAAATACCCAAAATGCTCCTGACTTAACGGCTAAATGGTAATGAAGTTAGCCGGAATGACCAAATGTTGAAAGTTTTGAAACCACAGGGACCATCTGTGAGGTTTTTTGAACTTAAAAACTAAACTTGATATTTTCGAAAACTACAGAGACTATTTTGAAGTTTTGTTTAAAACAAATCTATCAACTATATTTCGTTAGGTTTATAACTTTTTCCAAATCAAGGTTGTTATTCTAATCCATATTATATTTTTAAATTAGCCACCAACGAAATTACGCATAAAAGGTCAAGATCTAGATCTTGGATTGTTGCAATGATTATGACTTTAGTTAAGTATGTTCTCCTATGCATCTTTTTTCAGCATATATTTTTCATATTATAAAATTGCTCAAAAATGTATTTTGATGGTTTCATCATGCTTTTATGATTCAGCGGTGTCGGGTTTTTCATGTTCCGACAACATGAGTTTAGGATTTCATTATCGTGTAATAATTTCGTTTAGAAAATTAAAATAGTACTAAAAAACAATGTGGGTGGTGTGCTGTATACACTTGGCAATTTCAGTCCATATATTATTATTTTTTTGTCCTATTTAATTTCATTCCCAATGATTTTTCTTTTCTTTTTTTCTTATTTTTTTATGTGTCAATTTTAGTCTCTCCATTTTCACATAAATTAGCTAAGTATTAAAATGTCATTTTCATCATCTCCACTCTCTAATTTTATAATGTCAATTTCGTCCCATTTACTTTTTAAATTTTTTTTGTTTATTTTTATATTATATTTAATCTGAATTTTCTTAATAATTTGTGTTCATTAACTTATTAAAATAAATTACTTATTTATTTTTATGTATGCATAGCCATAAATTCAAGGTAATTAATATTTCGACATAAATTTAGAACTTTCATTACTTTTTTATGTGTCTATGTCATTATAAATTTGAGTTTGTCTATGTTTCAATTTAAAACTTTTTTTTTTATGTTTACGTGTTTATTTTTATGTACGTTTTTTCGTTTCCTACATATGAGTCTAATTACATATAATACACTTTTTCATTGTTTAAACTTACGTTCTTTAATTTTTTTTTTTAAATCATTTGCTTATTTTTTATGTATGTATCAGTATAAAACCACGGTTTCTTTATTTGGACATAAATTTTGTGTATGTTATTTGTTCTTACTTTTTTTTTTTTTGAGTTTGGTCACATATTAAACATTTTCATTCTAGCGTTATAAATTAAAGTCAGTGGTACCGACTTTTAGTGGATGTTTCCACCCACACTTGCCACCCTTCAACGTGAAATGACATTTTTCATCCCTTTACCTTGTAAAATATCACTTTTAGCCTCCTCTACTTAGAACTTTCTAAAATATCAATTTCACCCCTGAATTTTCTAAAGTTTCATGTTTAACCTCCATAGTTTATATAATATTATTTTCCTACAGTTACAACCCCTCAACTCTATTAAATGCCACTTTAAAACCATTGGTTTTGAACTTTATAAAATATTACTTTTATCCTCTCAACTCTCTAAACTTACATGTCACATCTACCGACATTTTACTCATTCGTATCGATTTTGTATATTTATCTACCAACAAATACAATGGTACCTAACATTTATCAATATGATTGTCAAAATTCAATTTACAAAACATATTGGCACTGCCACAACATGCGGTGGGCAAAATACTAGTTATAGGAATATTAACAAAATTGATTAAAATGAATAGTGGATTTAATTCAAATAAGCAATTCTTTGGTGTTTTGGAAAAATAATAGTTTTTGTCCGAAAAGGTTTATCGGTATATTTTGGATTAATTTTATGTCATAACAAAACAATTTTTTTCTAACAAAAAATACATTTTTACTGACATTATAGATTGACATTCTTGATTTCATATTTCGGACATAAAAAAAATAACAAAAAAAAAACTCTCATAATTCTAAGAACAAGTTTAAAATTTGATAAACATTTTTAATTTATAGAAAATAGTTGGTTTTTTACTAAAGGGAAATTGATCTCGTATCACAATCAAGTTTGGTGTTTTTTCCGGATTGGTCATTAATTTATTTTTGCTCAACAAATCCTTAAAGTTAAATTTTACCTATTAAATAGGAGTTTGACCCTCAAACTAACAAGTTTCTAGGTTATCTCCATTAGCTTTCATCCTACGTGGCAAATTATGTTTAACTTTTTCAACCCAATAAAGCAAAAAGGATAGCCTAATCCCTGAAAAGACTTACCGGCCAGCCTGCATTGCATTGTATCCCCAAAATTCGAACACCTCTCTTGTCTAGTCTCTTAAATTGAAGCTAGCATCTCCTTTTTCTCTTCAATCGATTGCAGAACTCAAAATCACATCCATTCTCTTTCTTTTACTCCCTCCACAAAATCTTCAAGTCCTACTCCTCTTTCTTTGTGTTTTCTGGTTTCCCTCTAGCATCTCGCTCTGGTTAACGTTAGGTTGATCTCTAATAACTCTAAGTAGCATCGGTCCTCCATAGCACTGCCAGAGAAAGATGCAAAGATGCACCATCAGCTATGGTCAGCTGTGACAACCCGAAATTTCCATTCTGAGCAAACCATTTGAAGCCAATAGAAGTAGAACAGTTACAGTGAAAACTCAGATTTCGAGTATAAGTTTGGCAGTTTTTAGGATTTTACACTTAAGGAGATATTAGGAGAGTGGATGCACTAGGGTTTTGTGCAACACTGTTATTCCAATACTCTAGGATATTAGAGTTCATTCCGAGAATAGAAATATTTTCTGCCAAAAATCCCAGGACTATATATAGAAAACTGAACCAAATAGTTCATTAGTTGAATTCCAATTAGAGAAAAGCCAAAATTCTCTCTCACGGATCTTCGGGTTTTTATCCCAAATTGTGAGTAACTCTTTCTAGTAGTGTTAGAAAGCTTTATATGTGTTCATAACATTGATTACATAGCTAAATCATCCGATTTAGGAGTTTACTCCCCAAGGTGTTCTTGGGCGGTAAACTCCCGAAACCAAGCCTAGATTGTCCCCCGTGATGTACTACTACCTTGGACTTGTATATGAGTGTATTAGGGACATGAAATCAACCTAGAATCACCCAAGTTTGGGAGTTCACGGCCCAAGAATATCTTAGGCCGTAAACTCCCTTGAACATGCCAAAATGCTTTGAAACACCTCCTAAAGCTTAGACTTAAATTAGGACATGTACCCTAAAGTGTTTATAGCCTAGAAAACACAAGGAATCACATGAGTTAAGGAGTTTACGGCCAAGACAAGCTCATGGGCCGTAAACACCTATAAAGGGGTCAAATGACACCCTAACTCCTTCCTTAAGCCAAGAGACCAATTTGGGCATGTACCTAAATGCGTTTTGGACTAGCTAACACACTTAGAACACCAAGGGTAAGGGAGTTTATGGCCCAAAAGGTTCTAGGGCCGTGAACTCTATAAAATGCTGCCAAATGGTGCCATAAACTCTTCTAAAGCCAAGTACAAAAGCCTAGTTTAGTTCCTACTTAATTTAGAGACTTGAAAACACCATAACCACCCTCCCAAGGGAATTTACGGCCGTAAAATCCAAGGGAATATGGTCCCAAGGCCGTAAACTCCTTAAAGGAGCTAATATGACACCCAAACACTTGATTTAGCCTTGAAACAATTCACCACATGAGTTGTATAATTGTTAGACTTCAATTAGAGGCTTTGTTGAGAGTTTACGGCCAGGAGTTTACTCCCCTGGGCTGTAAACTCCAAAACATATGGTCATTAGACCTTAAACTCCCATTAGAGGCCTTGCACTCCTTTGTTGCAACCCATTAGCCTCCTAGCACTTGACCAAAAGTGTTTTCCTCGCGTTTAAATGTTTATTCTTGCATAATTAGTGTTTTAATCACTAATTATTTATATACATATGTCTTCATATGTAATTAGGATCATTGTGTGTGTCTAAAGACTTCACTTGATACCAAGCACTTGTCCGATCCTTCCTTACGATAACAGTCCGTTCAATTCCAGTCACTTACTACAAGTGAGTTCATACCCCTTAACTAATGTTGTAAACTATTTTTAAATGTTTTATGGGGGGGATACAAGTAGAATCATGCTAGTTATTATATCAATCACATGTGATTAATAAGTAGAATTATGCTAGTTATTACATCAATCACATGTGATTAATATACAGCATTCAAATGATTTGGCTACTCATTAGCCATTTTACCAAACCGTTACTTCAAATGATTTTTATAAACATTTTATATGTTTTAAACTCCTTATTACACTGTACAGTTTACTATGTATATTACATTTCAAACTTATTTACTATTGTGTTCAAACAAATGTTTCTTTATACTAAACTGTTTTATCAAACCCATGCCTTTAAATTGTTTTATAGATTGACATCAAGTCGATCTTTTCTTAAGATAATAATTATGTTTCAAATGTTTTTACAAAACTTTTTTATGTTGTTATATTATAAATTGCATGCCTCTATATGTATAGTTATATAAGAAATGTTTAAAAGACTTAAGAAGGCTATCCACCCTATTTCCTTTCCGCGCTTGAGATGTGGTCTGGTGGGATATCGGGTACTCGTCTGAAGGTCGTTTAAATATTAG